TTAAAATATGAGATAGTGGCTGGGCTCGGTTCCGGTGCTGTGCTTTTTAGTCGCTAGCCGCGTTATCAAATTATTATCTCACACAGACTAGCACTCGTACACACTGAAGCACACACACACTCACACACACTGGGACAACCGCGCTTACACTGGATCGCTTACACCCAAAAACACGCGACGAAAAAAAAAAGCCGTACCGTGCGTGAAGAGTCTCATATCCCCCGGCTTGGAAGAATTTTTCCGAAAACTTTTTCGAAACATTTTCACCCTAAGTGTTGTCCATGTTTGCGGTCACACGCGTTGTGTGCGATGCGGATATTCGTCGCGAACTGACTGCCGAGCGGGCGGAGCGGGCTGGTGCGAGGGAGACAAAGCCCGGGGGCGACCTGCCTTTGCGATGACACCTGACACGCTTGCACTGGTGTGCCGCCTGCCCTCCCCCACCCCGCTCCGCCGCGCCCCGCCGCGCCCCGCCACGCCCCGCCACGCCCCCGCTAGACCTGCTGAAGCACCTGTTGGCGGGTGGCGCCCGGCTCCCCAAGGGGTCACCCGCGCTCGGCGTCGCCGTTTTCCGCTGACGCGATTTCATCAAATATCTCTCGCAAAATAAGGAAAGAAAACGATCGCGGAATTTTGTCTGTTTATGCCGTCTGTGGAAAGAAAACTCTCGGAGACCTTAGCTGTTGACCCTATTTCGTCTCTGCCCTTCTCCCTACCGCCGCGTCTTCTACTTCACTTGCCAACCCGTGTATTTTTTTTGTCCAATTGTGGACGCGTCTTCTTATTGGACCAATTAAAACACGTTTTCTTTCCCTCCTTAAGTGAGGCTAATGGCCGGCAGAGCGCAGCACACAGTCGGGGGGCGGGCGGGGGCCGCCAGATTATGGGGTCCCGGCCGGGACCGGCTGAATCCCAATGAAGTGGACACATTTCCCATAAGTCGCCTAGGTTCCCGTGTGATGCAGCGGACCCGGCCCGCTCCACCCGCCTGGCGGTGGTCATCGCATCCGCGCCCGCGGGCGAGGGCGTGGTGGGGCGGCAGGGCGGGGCGGCAGGGCGGGGCGGCTCACAGGGCCCCGCGCGCCCGCCACACCCCTAGGGGCGTACCTAAACGAAACGATATGACACACCGGGATCCTTTATGACTGTGATTTTGGACAGTGTGTGTGTGTGGGAGTGCATGCGTGTGTGCGTTCGGTTTGTAGGCATCTCAATCATCCTGCAAACCACTGCCCCGAAGTCAGCATGTCTAGAGCCCACATGTGCGATGCTTATGGATGGCGACACAAAATCAAATTGGAAAATAACTTAAACATCGTATGCACGTGTACACGCACAGGTTTTAAATCCTCAGGTACGCGGCGGCAGCGAAGAACGATCGGTCCCACGGCAATAGGAAGCGCTCGTGTGTAAAACATTTTTATTTTTTCTCATCGTAAAAAAAGGAAAGAAAACACACAAAAGTGTATTCCTCCCGTAAAGAGTCGTGTTGATTCTCCGCTCGGCTCTAACCGAGTACTGGTCGTATCTGCCCCCTCCTCCCCCCAACTCTCTCTCTCCCATTCAATTTTAGCCGAAAAGAAAAACAACGGCAGCAGCCGCGGCCGTGTCGTCGCCGTGTCCCGACATCTTGATGTCGTCCTTAAGGAGCCGGCCGGCCGTGTCATGCGCCTACTTGCCCCCATGCGGCAGCCAGGGCCCGGCCGGCGCGGAGCGGCGCGGCGGGGTCGGAGGTTAAACGCCAGCATGAGACGATTCACTGCATAAATCCCATCAGGGCGTCTGTCCGTCTCTGTCTGGCCGGCTGCGGCCCGCCCCCGGGGAGGACGAGGATGGAAGCTCTCTGGACCCTCCTCGCGCCGTGGCCGTGGCGTGGCGACGCGTGGCGTCGTGCTGCACCGAGGCATCGACCTGGGCCTGCCGTGGTACGCCCCGTCCCCCTCCCCCTATCTTTCCTTTCTACTGATGGTCATATTTATTTACATTCTGCGTGTGAACACCAGCGTGATTTGGATAGGAGCGGGATTAATAATTTTTTTCCTGCACACGCGCCCCCGCCCGCGGCAGGTCCAAGGACGCGCGATTGTGTCTGGGGCTGCGTCCGCGTGAACACTTCTCTTTCGAACGCGCGCGCGGTAATGGTAGTGTCCAGCTGTCATCAGGGCGGCGCCGCCCGGACACCGACGGGCACTCCACCCCGCTGTACACCGCGGGGCGAGGCGAGGCCGACGGTGTCTTGCGGGAAAAAAAATAAATTATAGAATATGAAAGGGAGACTGCGCGCGGAAACTTATTGGAGCTGTCGCATTTAGGGGTGTGCCAACGCCCTGCCACGCCTATGGCTTCCTCCAGCCCGTACACAGCTTTCAATCGACCGGTTCTATTCTGCCCCTCTGGCCGACGGAGAGCTTTCGATGGCTTGTTATGCGTTGGGCGCTGAGGTGGAGAAACACTCCCCCCCCCCTTCTCTCTGTTCTGCGCCCTCCGTTCAGGTGCCGTTGTCTGTCTCATTTTATGGCCGATAGTTGTGGCCTCCAATAATGGTTCGTTTAATTGTTCCAGCCGTCGCCCGCAGCGAAACATGCAGAGTTGTGTCCGGACACCCTAGGAGCGGGCAGCTGAGGTAAGCCCAGCAGGCGCGCGCGCGCGCAACACAGACAAAACAAAAAAGAATGAAAAAAAAAAACGTAATGCGCATTTAGTGAAATGGAAATTTCCTTTTGCCTTTGGCTATTGTGCGAAGCGAAAAAACAATATGTTTACCACTCAGAGAAAGCGATATGCCTTTTCCTCTCCCGCCACTTGCCTTACTCCCGCACCTGAGTGCGGACGGGACGTCGCATATTGCCCGCCGCCACCCACGGCGCGGCCCGGCCATGGGCCCAGCGCGGCCGCGGCGGAGAGATGCGGACTCACTTTTGCCGGAGAGGCAGAAAAAAAACAGATGAGGATGGCTGCTGCGCTGCTTCGCGCTCGCTGTGCCCTCATGCTTCGCCAGAGCAGCGCGCGGCCGCTCGCGAGCTCCGATATCGATGCGAGGCAAGGTCAGGGAAACGCAAAGATATCTCAGCTCAGCACAGCTCAGCTGAGGGGCTGTGCGCGCTGAGCGGAAACTGGACGCCACGATCCGCGCACTTTAGCTCTAGCGACTTCGAAAACAAAAATATTTTGTCGTTCCCGCCCAATTAACCCTTTGATTTGACGTTTCTCGGTTTGTTGTCGGAATGTTGGAAATGTAAAATGTAGTCGATTTGGCAGCCGCCTCCCGCTTTCTGCCGGGGCTTGTGCGATCTAGACGGCGGTGTTCGTAAAGAGTTCGAGTGTCGAAAGGAACTCCAGTGGCGGACCGGGCCGGGCTGGGCGGCGGCGGCAGCAGCAACGCGCTGCTATCTCGGCCGGAAATGGCGACGAATAAATCAGCTGGGACCAGTCCGCCATGCCGCCCGGCCCGGCCCGGGGCCTCGCACCTAAGCGCGCCAACAGCAAGCACAAGACCGACACCACCTTCGACAATTGACGATGAAATTTCGCTTGCTTGTTGTTTTATCAAGTCCTCATCGCCAGCGACGTGAGCGCGATCGGCTCCTCGCCGCTCACGCGCATCGCCCGCCCGAAGGCCTCCTTTTTCACCCCCCCGCCCCCTCCTCCCCGCGCACATCTCCCTTTACTCTCCCTTTTCCCCTCCCCCTCCTCCTGGCACGAGCCGAGTGCCGGGCAGGTACCTCTAAGGTACCTGGAGGAGATTCCAGTTCATCCGGATGGGCGTCAACGCTCTACCCGATCCCTCGAGGAGGATGAGGAGAGAGAGAGAGAGAGAGAGAGAGAGAGAGAGAGAGAGAGAGAGAGAGAGAGAGGGCGAGCGAGCGTTACACGCGGCGGCTGGTTGTTGTCGCAGCAGCCAGCCGGTCGCTTCTGTTTCACCCACTTCTTCTCTCATTCCTTCGTCTTTCTTTCCCTCG